AAATAGCTTTTTTGCGGTTATGTATTTGGATATCTTGTAAAAGTGAATTGTCCTTTTCTTTTTAAACACTTTAAGTATAACTACTACATGTAATAAGTAATGAATGTAAACAGTTTTAATCAGGAATCGACCGGTACATTATACATGTACATACACATTCTACGAAGTCGCCTCTTAACTTTAGATTAATGTGATACTAATAACTGATAACAAATATTGAGACTGAAGGGTCAGATAATCTAGGTCATAACTTTTAATTAAGATGATTATGTTTAATGACAATCATTTTAAGTCATTGACACTAAACCCTACTGAAGTATTTGTCTACAAGTTATTAACCGTTTAAAAATTAACTTATATGCTCATTTCTTTTATTGTGATAATTATAGGAAAGGTTGAAATAAAACTATGTCCATCCTTCAACTCTTTTGGACCTGTCAGAGCTAGAATGATATCAAGGAGACAAAGCATTGTCTTCATACACAAGTGGTCTTTATTTGGAGGTTAATCTATTCCACTTTATCGATGAATGGTTATCAAAAATAAATAGTCTTTATTCACAGGGTTATCTTTAATCAGAAGTGGTATTTAATACAGGTTTGACTATATCTACGCATACACATCCTTTAAGTGATAGGTTGCCTGCATTTTGGTCAAAACCGAGAGATATTTTCAATTTGATCGTATTGTTGAAGGGACCTCAATGGCTATTTTTATATTATAGGTTGTTTAATTGTAGCACTAAACAACTACAAAACAATTCAGAATTTGGACCAGACATGTCTGTGCATTATTCTAGTTAAGCATGCATATTTAACTAATTCAAATAATACAGCCTATATTACGTAAGAATTATCTTTTTGAAACATCCTATATATTCTGCCTAAAACCCCAATATAGTGAGCGTTATCATTGGATCAAAATGTATGGGAAACCTAGGATTTCTTATTACGTAAGGATTATCTTATCTTTTTGATAGAGCCTATATATTCTGCCCATTCCCACAATTAGCGTTTATCATTGGATAAAAAAGTATAGAAAACATACATGGTGTAGGATTTCTTATTTTCTTGATATTTTTATGTTTTATGGACAGTAACTATCAGTGATGATAAGTTGCAACTTACACTGAAATTTTAACTGTTTTACTTTAGAATGCATTTATCATCAAAAGTACGGTCGTATTAAGGCCTTTATCTGGGAAAAGCGCAACAAGAAAGTGAGATGCGATGTTTTTCTTTAATTTCAGTATAATTTTCTAAAATTTCAAACATTCTTAAAGCTACATGCCTCCAGATGAGTCCAAATATTTCAGTAAAATCAAACTTGAGGAAAATATACTAAGATGTCAGGAAAAGTAAAAAAGTTTTAAGATTCAAGTAATATTTTTACATATTGTGTGCGATTAATGATTAACAACGATATTTCTACTGCGTTATTTTGACAGTGCATATTTTGACCACTTTTTGGTAATTTACGTACGTGGTTTGTAAGTGCCATTGATAATGTGTAAATTGCTTCCGTTTGGTTACTTCACAATATTACTAATTCAAATACATTTTCAAAATTCTCATGAAAATTATCTTGAATCTGGAGACATGCTGCTTTTAAAAGGGTATATGACATTGAACATAGTAAATTGTATACCACTAAACTGCGATTGACCCTTTAGTGTAGTAAACATTTTGTTTATCAAAATCCAAAACCCGGAAGTAATGTTGAAAATACAATAGAATAAATTCATGGCTTATGAAACATTCTACGTTTTAATAAGGATAATACAAATCCCCCTAACCGTATCTCAAGTAAGTGTGAAGTTGTCAAGCCTGTTATAGTTTTATGATAACAAATAAATACATTAAAGTGAATAGGTCAGTAATGGTCACAAATTTTCATATGTATTTCAAAAATTGATAAACCAAGAGAAAATTTATTAAGAATTGAGATGATCTTCATAAATTTTTTTATGAATGATTATAATATTTTGTTCCAGAACAATTTTATTATCTGCTATATAAAGATAGGTTGTATTGGATTATGTAGCTAACATCAATGAGTTAACAACAGCTATAGTTATATAGCATGTTTTGTTATTACGTATGATCCTAAATTATTATCAACATAATTAGTAATGGTATAACATACCAATTCACTTTAAGGATTCATTTAATGGTCAGAGGTATTCATTCTAAGTACAGTTTAACGGTTCTGTTAATGGTTATAACAACTTTCTAGCTATTTCTTCATCAAAATCCAATGATATAGTTGTTCTAATTCAATGATGTAACAGATGCAAGTTACTACACGTTTGATAATATGATTATATTTTACACACACTTGCATATGTAAGTATATATGAGCCGTGTCTGACAAAAACAAACATAGTGGGTTTGCGACCAGCATGGATCCAGACCAGCCTGCGCATACCGCGCGAGTCTGATACAGGATCCATGCTGTTCGCATTAGTTTCCTCTACTTCTTATAGGGTTTGTAAGCGAACAGCGATGCGATCCTGATCAGACTGCGCGGATGCGCAGGCTGGTCTGGATCCATGCTGGTCGCAAACCCACTATGTGGTTTTGTCGTGACACGGCTCATATGTGTATTATACTAGTAACTAGCGTTATCAAACATGCGTAGTTCATGCATAAGACAAGTGTTCACTACTTTGATGTGTTCAGGGACATTAAAACAATGTTTCTGATGTTGCGTGTAGATTATAATTTACGTAATGGTGTTACGTCATTGGCGTAAATAGACAATGCAATAATCACATCTTTAATCTATATATAAACATGATATAAAACAAAACATAGACAGATTATATTTCTTACATATATACATATAATATACCCTATCTATATGTACATGTATCTACATAAATTAAACGTAAATCTGTACATTGTACGTACATCGTTATTTACAATGTAAGCGGGGCTTTTTTAGGGATTCGTTTAAAAAAACATGTACAATTTTGATTTTTTTTAATACCGGTATGTCACTCGAGCTATTGAAGGTTAAATAAATTTCATTTATTATACAATTTACAAACAAGCACATAATGCCTCAGAAACAAATATATTTTTACTTCTTTCGAAAGGGGCAAACTTGAAAATTAGTATAATGTTTAAATGATTGTTCTAGAGAATGTTAGATACCTTGGTCCCATAAATGTGAAATAATGTCACAAAAGTAGCACAATGTAAACAAAGTAGTATTTTGACTTCCGTACAAATTAGTTATTAACTTTAACTGTTCTTATTGTCAAAAAGAAACAAATGAAAAGAAGGTCCAGGTAATAGGCCAATGAGTAACTTTTTTGGACGATACTATAATAGATTACCAAAAAAAAAACTATTGAGAAATAAAAATAAAATCATTTTTAAGGTATAATGGGCACATTGAACATTGTATTAGTTATTGAAATCAATATATCCTTTGATCAATATTTTACAACATATCAGCTTTATTTTATTATCCAAATCATGTCATAAAATGCATTTTTTAAAAGGACAATATAAATGATAATGTTTCATTATAATACTGCGCACGTATATATTTAAAAATTCCATGAACGTTCAATAACAATAGAAAGACTTGATAAAATGCCAAACCATTACATGTGGTCACGTTAGGTATGCAACATATGGGCAAGGCATTAATATGAATTAAAATGAGGTAGGAGAAATAGTTTTCTATTTTGGTATTTCGAGGGAAGATTTTACACTTAATAATATGTGTATGCGGTCAGACATATGAACTTTTAAGTTAAACGGCAAATCAGTACAAAACATCTTTGACCAGATATACACAAATACAAATATTAATACAATATTTACATACATAAAATTCATTTTTAAACAAAAAACATATTTACAACACGGTTATATCATATCTATGCGTAGACTTTTATGGTTTTAGTGTGTAATTGTTATTTAATATGATCCCAGCAGTACACCTGAATGTGTTTTTTATTAATTAATGAAATACAAAGTGTTATGTTTTTATATTATCATTATTATTATAATCAATATTAGTATTAGTATTGGAAGTAGTCATTATAGTAGTCGTTGTCGTACTAGTAGTAGTCGTCGTAGTAGTTTAGTAGTATAAGTAGCAGTGGTAGTAGTAGCAGCAGCAGTAGTAGCAGTAGTAGTAGCAGTAGTAGTAGTGGTACCAGTAGTGGTAGTGTTGTTGTTGTTGTTATTAAAACTTTTATTATTATTATTATTATTATTATTATCATTATTATTATTATTATTATTATTATTATTATTATTATTATTATTATTATTATTATTATTATTATTATTATTATTCATGTACTTCTCGAGAGGCGACGGTCATTTTTGTCATTGTCAAATTGTAAGTGAACTTTTCAGTGTGATGTTTATTTAAAAGTTAATCATTGTGGAAATGTAAACACAGATCTATACTTCGCGGATAATTATCTCTATAAGGCCTACAGTATCGAGCCAATTTTACGATCTTTTTTCTATTATTAAAATAATGTGTTACAAAAACTGTGTGGCATGATACAATTTAAGTACTGTTATTTTGAAATAATTAACTTGTTATTTTGAAATAATTAACTATCATTAAACTACTCATATTGTACTCATTTTTTGCCCGTCCTTTAACTTCAGGTGAATCATTTTATCACGATTAGATTAAATTATGAAATAACGTTATGTACAATGTAAATAACTGGTATCATCGCACATGTGTTACTGTATTCATAAAAATGTCGATCTTTGTGCTGTAGTAAGATCGATACTAAGTACAGACTACATGTTTAAACCGGTTCATACAATGAATGTGCTCTCGATCGGGAATTTCCCGCTATCTAAAAATAGAACATTAACAACACTACCTTAGTGTGTATTTATGGTTAGTGATATTATCACGGAGTAATCTTGAGGGGAATTTTGTTGGTTATTTTCCTATAATAATACACCGTAAGTTTTTGTTTTTCTTTTGTCTATTTAGTATTTATAAGAAAATGACGGATTTAAACGGTCACTTGAAATAGAAAATTTGATAAAAGCAAGCATAATTTGTGTAAAATGTTGGGGAAATGTATCAATACAATATCTAGCCTTTAATAGATAAAGGGCTGACTCAAAAGTTTTCTGCGTAAATAAAATGAAGTTATTTTATGTTAATGCACAGTTTTGGCTCGCATATTGTATTGAAAAGATACGTTTAAAGGGAAGTTCTTATAGAGGACTTGGAGAAGTTATTGTGTGGTAGGTGTAAAAATCTATGTGCGTGTAGTTGTCAGTAGCTTACACACAAAGCAGACAACGGCATACATTTTCACGTGTTTTGATCTATTTGAATGGAATAAGTAACTAAAATTACATTTTAACTGCATGAAATAAAAAATTGCTCAAACGTGCGAAATGAAACGTGTTTCATACAATAAAAGTTGAACGATTGGTCTTTTGTGATATTATTAATACATGTAAATGATGTAATAATAAATATAAAGTTAGAATGATAATTAAACACTACATAGCATACTGCCAAATTCATATAAAAATATTTCTCAATATTATGAAATTCTTATTTTTTGTGTTGACAAAGAACTGTAAAAAAGCTCAATTATTTTTTTTAAACTGCATACAAGTAGATCAACTGTACAATTCTTTACGTAAATTTTATAACAAAAATCTCAGTATTCTAACGAATGTTTAAAATGCTTTAAAAAACGCTAAGTACTGCTTCACAAATCTATAGATATGTTTTATAACCTGTTTTACCCCCATTTCAGAATAAGTAAGAATAAAGGAACAAGAAAACAATGTCGGATATACCGCCAGTACAGTCACCAGTGCCCATGAATCGCTCATTCATCAGTTCGTCGGGTTCGAGCATGAACGTGGAAGCGGAGAGGGACCAGTACAAAGAGAAGGTGGAGCATTTTAAATTCTTGGTCAGAAAATTACAGGAGGAAAACCAGTCATATAAACTTAGAAAGGAAAGTACAGAAACTGTTTCTAAACTGTTGCAGGAGTCCAAACAGGAAGTGACGTCATTACAGAAACGGTGTAGTCTAGCTGATGCTATAATTCGAACTTTGCAAAGTCGATTAGAATCTAACGGACTGTCCAGTGATATTTATCCGCATGAGGGCGAAGAATACATACCTGGCCAGTCTAAAAACTTGCTTGATAATTTAACGCGGGAAAATAAAAGACTTCGTAGTCTTATAAGGTCAAAGTCAGGTGACCCCGAAGAATATGCCAAACTTCAACAGGTGAGTACCAGACTAAAGTTGATTTGTTACGTAATCTAGCGTTTAATTTATCTGGTCATTAAGATTGCCGATCGCAAATTTTCGGCCGTTTCCGTCAAATTTCGGATAGAGATTATTGGTAATCGGTGCCCACTAATTTGATCAGGGTTTTTTTGAGGTCTTTTTTAATCATAAAATCTCATCAGGCACCGTTCGGTTAGCTCAAGTTAGGTAGAGCGTTGGACTGTGAATCGAGCGATCCGGGTTCGATTCCCGGACGGTGCAGGCCACTTTCGTTGTGTTTCATGAAATCCTTTCTACGGTCATTTGCACTGAATCTGTGCGCATGTACAGTACAGAAGCTATCAGTTTCCTGCAAAAGTGAAAGCAACACTAGAGTTGTACTGGTAAACTGCTTGACAGGATGCCGTGTCTGAACTATGCTTGGGCTTACTGCCGTGATCCGGACACCACCAACTAAAAACTCGTCAATACAAGATAATATAAGAGAGAATCACCTGAGACCAATACATTTGGGAAGGATGAACATTAAATGAGAACATGATTAGTAATGATCTGGAGATTTGAGGTTATTGGACATCGATTTCCATTTTTAAATCAATTTAGCAGGAAATCGCGTAAGGCCCATTGATATCAAAATTTACATTTAATCAGAATAGATTATTTATTGATTGAAAACTATAAAAGGTTACAAATGCAAATGAACGTAAAATCTAAATCAATGACCGGGTTTATTTCTATATCCAGTATCATGTGACTTTGTGAGTGTTGTATACAGAAAAAAGACTATTGCCGATTTATTTTTACTCGCTAAAATAAAACTTCTTGTTTAATAGCTTTTCTTCGCCCTCGAAAACATATTATCGTCAACTGAAAGGTGGAAAAGTCAAGACAGTAGAAGTAGTAGTAAAGTTTCCACGGAAACTGCACGTTATTCATGAATAAAGTCCCTGTTATCTGGATCACGTGTCTTAAATCGGTGTAATTGAGTTACAAAATATATTTGACATGTAAAATTTCCAAATACTTGATCAGGCCATTTGCAATGTATTTGGACTTAAAAGGCAATGACTGAATGAAAGACTTGAGTCAGAACTGACGTAATAGTCATTGACTTTAATAAAATATCCTTACAATATTTTGACTATTTCTATGGCAAGATTGCCTGACACACAAACCTTTGAAATCGTCAAACTTTGGTCCTTTTTTTCTTTTGTAATAAATTTGTAACCCTAGGCGGAAGTCTTTTTGAAATATGTCCCATTGAGCTATAACTACAGTTAAGTTTAAATGTAATTTAGTGATATAGATTAAGTTACGCAAAAAAAGTTGTAACAGATCTATATTTATGATAGAGATAAAACTAAAATAGATCTAAAGTCGCCTTCGGGAAATTTCGAGACAGCAAAAAATCTGTCCTAAAATATCAACTCGGGTGCTGAGTTTACCTACGCCGTTATGGGTAATATTATGGAAATATAATAAAAGTTTGTTATAGATATAAGACACTTTTGATGCGAAAATAGCTTTATCACTCCAGCTACTTTATACTTATATTTATAGAAACTGATGCAGCATATATATTTTTCGGCTTCAATCTTTGGGTCAAATTCCCCATGAATAAGCATTAAATTGTATGTAAAAGATTTCAACTACCTACTAGGGAAAGTAAAACTGTCTCAAGTTCCCTGTGTCTTAAGATTTGTATTTCATGATTAATTTATATTTTTATTCGGAACAAACGGACTTTAATCGTGGAAATTCCCATTTAATAGTACCATAGAAGATTATAAGATTCATGTTTCAACTTCCGTAGTTAAAAACAAAAAGTGTGTAATCTGTGTAAGTGTTACAAAAATACCCGATCTGTCTGTATAAATATATATAGCTACATGTAACTTGACAACTGCCAACACCACCATACACACACACCACCATTTATAGTTTCATCTTAACACATTTATAATTGATTATTCAGCTAACTTTGTTTTACAACCATCTCAGTCAGTTGAATTTTTTTTGATCGTTTTGGTTATTTTATGTATGTTTGTAGATTGAAAAGCCGGATTTCGGTGATATTTTTGTAAATTACACGAGTATCAGCTTTTTTAACAATCCTGTTGGTAATCCTCTTTCCGAATATCCCGGATGTACACACTCGGGTCCTATTTTCATTACAGTCCCCTAGATCGGTTGACTAAGCTTACCCAAATTCGCTGCGTTTCTTTGAACTCTATTGATCACGATAATTTCCTCAAATCTAGTATTTATACGTCATTTATATATATACTTATTTTGTACGTACTCTCTGTTCTTTGCATGTACTTTTATTTTGTTTTATGTCTTATTGACATTGTTAGTTTTTGTTTTCACAGCGTTTTGAAGAAACTGAAAGAGAGTGCAACGAATTAAGAATACAACATAGTAACCAACAAACCCGCATTGCGGAGCTAGAGCAAGTTTTGAGGTCATCAGATAATGAAAAAGATAGAACTATAAATGAACTTCGTGAAAAAATAAATCACATAACCCGTGAATTGACGTCACGTGATACATTGTGTACGACATTAGCCGAGGAAACCCGAATGTTGCAGAAACAGCTGGAAGATGTTGCCCGGCAGTGCCAAGAGTTAGCTAAGCGATTAACGGAGCAGGGTCACAATACTGATAAAATTATTCAAACGGCGTTGAAAGCTGTAAGTTTGTTGTCCAAGTTCTAAACAATCGTTTTCCTTCTGTTTATTATTATTGTAAGGTCGCCTGTTTTGAAGACAAAGTCACCTGATCGCTGTGGCGCCGTCGTCGTTGTTGCCGTCGTGCAAAAACTTTAATGTAGCCCATCATTTTAAGAATATAGACAAGGGGTATAATTCTGAATGCAATATTTTTGGAGTTATGCACCTTTTTAACAGACGTGCGTTTTACACCGCATGCGGTGCCTATAATTATTATTATAATTATTATTTTTTTATTTAATATTAATATTTTTTATTAACTTGGGTAACAATCATATTGGGCAATGGGTATAGATTAATTAGTTAGTCCTCCAGTTTGCATGAGTTGGGGTTTTGGGGTGGAAATACAGTTATTTCAAGCATATTTAGATACGAAAGTTGGACAATTCATTCATCTTATGACCAGTTATCGGTTTTAAATATAATACAGGTGTATCGGTAGCTTTGGGCAGTCATTCGTGAAGTGCTTAGTATGTCCATGAGGTGGTTTAACTTTGACATAAATCTTACTAATAACACATCAAATCTTCTTTAAAACTAGTCATGACCAGTTTGCTAATTGATTTATCGTGTTTTGTGTTTGAACACAATACCTTTATCATTGGTTAACAAGGTAAAACGTGATATTTCATCTACCTATGGTATAAACAAAATATTACCTACATTGTATATATAACTTCAGTTGTAAAATGAAACCGCGATATGATCAATAACTGCTTAAACCTGTATGCACTTAAACCTGTATGCACAGTATATAAATATATATACATCAAAAGTGCGCTTTAACCAATCCGTCATGTTACATTCCTAAGTTGACTGTTTTGACAGCCTCACTGATATTTACGTAAGATATATAGGTCAGACTTAAACGTGAACATTTCCTCCATATCATCTTTAGCAGACGAGATTATAAGCAATCAAAGATCTTATATTTTACGAATTTTCTGCTGCTTTTTTAAGTTTATATTCTCCCCGCCAAGATCTTGGCTTATTTTATTTAGATTGTGTTATTGTTTTGATTGTCATAGGTCATTAATTGTGAAACGGCCCTCTCCAGTACTCCCACTTCCTTGTATAAATATCGACCAATCAGATCTCGTGTTTGATATCTCATATTAACTTTTTGTTAAACGTTTCCTGGTTCTAATGATAAGGCAAGATGTTGATATCTTCACGTATGTTTTATCCAATACTGTTCAAGAACACTACCGTTACTGTTTTTTTTAAGATAAATGTGATGTATTCTCGTTTTCCCTGTCTCGGAACATTTACGATAAAAAGGGAGATATCTCGATTGAAGGATAAAACACCATTTCCTTTCTGTACAGTATGGTATGAATATGGGCGTCAACGTCTGATAAAGGGGCTTTGTTTGAATGAAAAAGAATATCTTCCTTATAGTTATGTCTGCCCTGCCTATGATAAGATTAAACAATATATAATGAACGTTGGGCTTGTTCTTGACAGGTTCACTTAACAGGGTTATAAAACAGTACGTCCAGTGTTCACGTGAATCAATGCAGTTTTTTTTTTATTTCCTTAATTGACTTGAGGCACGTACATTTGTGTGTAATGCGGTGTAAGCGTGCTAGGAACCAATAGGACAAAGTATAATATGTGTGTCCGGAAGCTGAAAGGGGAATTTTATTCACATGATTAAAACATGACACTTTCTCCTCCATATATACTTTGTAACTCTTAGTATATGTAATAATATCTTATGTATGATTTTTTTCAAGTACTAATGAATCTATACATTCTGTGATATAATTTGTACATTTATATTACGTGACTTAGTATCTATGTACAGTTATATGTCCATTTACTTTATAATTATGGTCTTTTTATTTTCCATAAACATTTTAATGTCCCATATATATTATATAAATGTACATGTCTTGTTGTTGTTGTTTTTAATTTACATATTCATTTTATATGTACTCGTAATTCAAATGCGTATTTAAATGTACATTAAATTACTTTATACGTACATTTATATGTACATTTGCTTTATATATTACTCTTACATAAACATTGATTTTATATGTACATTGAATTATTGTATGTTTACATTTATTTTATATGTACATTTATTTGTATATTAATTTCATATATTCGTATATTGATTCATCTATTATTTATATACATTATTTTATACATTTATTATATGTTTACATTAATTTTATATGTACACATATTTACATGTAGAAAATATTATATTCTTTACATGCCATTATTTATGATTACAGAACGTAAAAGAAGTATCTAATGACTCAAGTAAAAGCCTCATGGAAGAAATCAAGTCATTAAAACAGAAAAATAAAGAGGTATTGAAACATGATAAACATTATTTTATTAGCATTATCAATCACTTCAAAATGAAGAAATGATTTATTAAACAAACAAAAACCATACAAGATATGCCCATATTTCAATGTCAAAACATACTTTAATGTCAAAGTGTTCATGTTGAGAAAATTTGATATTTGATTTTAATATTTGACTTCAGGTCAAGGCATCTCTTTCAAAGTTTAATGATGTATTGTTTAAGCATTGTAATTTAAAATACTAAGCATTATATCGTGAGACTAAAATTACAGCTGTCAGCTGCATGAGTCATAAAACGGGTTTACCCTAAGGAAACGCTGGGACTGATATTTGGATCTAAAAAACCCATATAAAGAGGCTGTCCTATGATAATATCACCGCTAAAAATCCCGCATATTTGTATAATATTATATTCATGGCCATTTTGGCGCCAAAACAAAACCACCACATTGACTCGGCAGACAGACGAAAGGTGAAAGACTTATTTCAGCCGCTTCCAACTCTTCTTCCGCCTCCACTTCTTCAGATGTCGGGGCGTGGTTACAATGGACTGATTCATAACAAGCCTCAGATATTGTTTTGAGACAGCCTTTACATTTGTCCTTATCATTGACATAACAACTTGAGTATTTTGTCCTTAAACCAGTGTTTATTAAATCAAGGTCAACATTAAGTCATTAGGTTGTAACTAGGGCATTTACATATACATTTCGGTTTCATTTTGTTATCTTGTATGGTAATGCTGTTTTATATAGCAGCGTTATCTTGGTGCATAGTTTTGCCTCCTTCGAAAGTTATCCTGTTAGGTTCATACAAATTTATCTTTAGTTTAATTGTGTTGGAAGCTATAAGCTTATTGAAACACTCTCGAATCCGTTCCAGGAACCCATCAGTACTAAGCAATGAGAGTAATTTTTTGCTCACGGAAACAACGGTTTCTTATACTGTTGATTTGTAAATGTTTTTTAATAATGTTATAAAAGAATGGTTTATTTATTTATAGATTACCGAGATGAACAAACGCTGGCAGGACTACAATAACCAAAGAGAGGCATACGTTAAAACATTACTTACTGAATCAAATGATTTAAAGAAACGCGTGGAAGAACTTTCCGGAAGTCAGGGAAACGTCATACCACAAGAAATACAGGTTGAGATGAATCGTATTTTAGATGAGGCCCGTCGTCTTACACGTGAATTGGAGGACCAAAAACGATCGACGACACGTGCTATAAGTGAACGTGATAGGGTAATTATGATTATCACGATAATACTCACGAAACACTGTCTCTGATAAGCGCAAAGTTACGAAAATACTTACAAAAATCTTACGAAATGTAAGTAAAACGGGCCCTCGCATCTAACTATCAATTGTATGAGTTCAAATCCTGATATTCAATTGGATTAGGAAAAAAACGATTGTTTGAATTTATTCGTCCGTACTTTATTTAGCCATAAGAATTCTTTTTAACATTGCCCTTAGATGTTTAATACCGTAAGTTTCGAAACCGGTTTACTTCCTAGTTGACATGTGACTGGTAGAATGATAACGGGATAATTTACGACCTCTTATACTAGTAATATGCGATCTATATTTGGTTTGTACAAAATTTATTTTAATTCGATTTTGCTGGAATCAGTAAGCTTATAGATACACTTTCGAATCCAACCAGTACTGAGAAATTATTGCAAAGTTTCTTGCTCAAGAATGGAACGACTGAGTCCTGATGGGGTTTGAACCCATGTGACACGCGACAAGAAATTTATAGATTGTTCTATAATTGTCAATATTGTATGATAATGATGTCATTATATAGTATTTGTATCTTTATTTTTAGATTAAACGAGAGGCGGAGAACGCTACCAGTGTTATTACAGCTCTAAGGTCGGAGAACCGGGATTTAAGACGCCGAGTAGAGTCCGGACCGTCCCACGAATCTTCAGAGACTATAAATGCTTTAAAGGCGCAGATTCGTATCTGTACAGAAGATTTTGAATCTGAAAGAAAAGATAGAGAAAGAGCCGTTTCTAAAGTTTCAAGATTAGAACACGAATTGGAACGAGTTAGAAAAGAGGTATGCCGGTTATGTTTTGTTGTTGATGATGTTTTTATTATATTCATTCAATAACTGGTATCATGAAATTTTGGCAACTTTTCTTTAAAATCCCACCTTTATGAAACGAAAAAAACGTATAATTTCGGTGCTTGATAAAGCAAATGTGTAGCTATTGATTTGTTAGATGATGAAAAAGAACGGTAACGTTTTGCATTTATGTAGGCAACAGTTAACCCAACAAACAAAACGTGACCAACAGCAAAATCTCAAACATATATCCACTTTACTGCCTAGATTATATTACCAAACTGTGTTTTGCATGATTTTGGTACAGGCATTCCAGTAAAATTGCATTTTTCAAAAATTACATTTTTCAAAAATTATATTTTTCAAAAAATACATTTTTCAGAAATTACAATTTTTTATATCATGATGTGTCCTTCAATTGTTTGTATTTATTTCTCACAGAATGAAAATCTTAAACGCGAGGCAATTCGCCGGCAAACAAGTCCGCAGATACAAACGCCATACAACGACCCATTTTATCATTACCAGTCTTCCGGAGGCCCACATGGGAACTTTACTAATGAGGTATTGATCTATATTTATATCTATATTTATACAATACAATATGTAACTAATTCTCTCATGACATGGAAAGAAAAAACAAATGAAATATTGCTTCAACAGCCAGTAACATTGTGTAAAATATATTGATTAATAAACTGTAGCTTATTTGTCATTGGCTGTGTTGAGTGAAGTAATATTAATGTATTGGAATTCCAACTTTCACTTTCCTCCAGTCTGGTGCTTTTGCCGTTAATAGAACTGACAATATCAGACAAATCATGCGTAATTCTGGTCATTTTTCTTGTTGTTAAAAATGACTAAACTTTTGTTCAGTTTCAATGAAAAATATACCATGACGTCATAATTAAAATTTCATTGTTTCATGAACTCAAATTTATATTTTACAAAATTTACTTTTATAGGGTCTAGCCGCCAGGGGAGTGTCAAGACTTCAGCCAGTAGATCAAACTCAGCAAATTAACCTTGATAGATATAACGTAATTGACGGCAAGGACTTGCTTGCTGACGGCGAAGATCACGTGACTAAAAGCGCGCGCTCAAAAGACAATTATGATCAACAAGACAGTGAGCAAACTTCAGTTGTTGGGTTAAGAAAAACAAATGACGATGATTATCAGTCGTTAAACGCTTCATCAATTTCATCAAAAGATAGATGTTCACTCTCCCCAAAACATTCACCTAGAAATAGTAGAGGCAACTCGCCAGTCAGTAAAAACACGCAACAAATCATAGTCGCGAATACTGATGACAATTTAAGGTGTCCCAAATGCAACAAAGAGTTTACATCAGACGAACATCCTGAGCTTCTTGAACATATGGATTCTTGTGCATATTGAAAATATTTTCTCTGAAAAGTTCTTTTAAGTTATTTAACTGGTTTTGTACTTACTTTTGCCAGTCATCACTTCCCTTCGTTTTGGAGTGTGTTTTTTACACGAAAAGTCATGCTTTGTTAATGAAGCCAGCACTTTCGCTATAAACCACGTGACTGTTTCAGGTGCCAAAGGTGTAGGAAGTCGGAATTTATATGCTTGGATATTAAATACATGCCAAGAGTTTAGTTGTGTCCAGTCGACAGGGGATGTTTATTTACCATTTGCCTAGTTTTGAGATTTACTGTTTTACTGTTATATTAATAAATTACAGAAAAGAAAGGTTTAGTCTCAAAAGATATAAATTGCCAAATGGCAATCCTTACGAAATGATAAAGAACACCGGGAAACACATAACATATACATGTATGTAGGTTGTGATAGATAACAGTAAATTATATTATGCAATAATAAAAATCTTAAAGTCTTAAATCTTAAAATCTTTAAAAATCCTATCAGTAAAGTTTCATTCTATTGCTTATGGATACGGTTTGGACTATTCTCAAGGCATAGGGTATTGGACTCACATGCCACCTTTACTTAACAATAACATGACATATTAACACTCAATATGAGGTTTTTAACAAATTGATAAAAACAACTGTCATGTAAGAATAAATCATATAATTGCCACTTTTATGTCCATGTTCATCAAGCGATAGCCCTCGAAGTATTTTGCTTTAGTGCCATCAGTATATGCCGACAATACTTCCCAAAACGAATTTCGAATTTTTAAGATTTTTTTCGTAATTTATTGTAACCACGTTATGTGTATTAATGTGATACAAAATCCCACAAAACAATGATTGAAAAATAAAAGATGTCTAAAAGCTGCAAAAAAAAATGAACAAAGTATTTAATGAAAATGAAAACACTCCAACCTGAAAGAAACCACAATTTATTTAGGTTTTGTGGTTCGCTACTTTAACAAGTTTGGTCATTGGTGTAATATTGCGATGTAACATCGATTTCCATTGGCCTTCTACATTTGCGACCTGCTGCAAATTGAAGATTCGATTAAATATGTTATTTATAAAATGAAATAATTGTAAATATTATAATAATGTAATTAATTAAGACTTTGACACGTTGTATGGCTGCGTTATTTTTATATAACACAAGGTAGTAGTATTATATAAGGTTCCAAACCATATAACATGTAAAAAGATAACTGATAATATATTCGGTATAGGAGACAATTATAAAAGATACTGATAAGGGGTGGGTAACCAGGGGAACATAGGAGCCGGAATACTTCAATGTAGATCCGAAACGTTAAAGGACCTCTGTCACACATTATATGGATTCTTTCGAATAGTGAACTAAAGTGGAGCTAGTTTCGTTAAATTGCACACTTGAAATGCACTACGTTGAATAGTGCTGTAAATAAGGAAAAAAATCTGAAGTGCTGTCTCCCCCGTAATCAGATTGCTATCGTTATGATCTTGGAAAGTAGTTTAGATAAGCACCTTAGATAAGACATTTATCAATCATAACAGTAGAAGGTACCTGCTCGTTCCAGAAAGCTTTGATATATGGTTGTTGTTTTCATGAGATTTTGTCAGGATGACTGATACCAAACAAACAAACAGACATACATACACAAACAGACAGACAGACAAAGGACAGAGACAGTTGATCTCAAAAGGCTAAAGTTATCGCCGAAGAAAGCTGAAGTCAACGAGAGACAGACCGAGAGACAGACAGAGAGGTAGACTGACATATAGACTGTAAAGAGACGTACGAACAGATCTTATACATTGTACATGTACTATGATATCAAAATTTCATATCTCGGCGTCGTCATGTTTTAATGCGTTCAATGAAATTATTATTTAAAAAAAAATTAATTCAATTACCTTCTTATGATAATTGTGGATTGACGATTCGACAAAAAGCAACAGTAACTCCGAATAGAGCTCCTCTTCGAATTTTGAAGCACTATGTGGCGAAAAGAGTCGAAAAGGGGGGGGGGGGGAGTTTTCCTATAGGGTGTAAGCTCCGCATAAATTTAATAATCTTACATAGATCAACTGGGGCACTTAAAACGGAAAAAAGATCATTAAGAAATTAGTTTACTTTGATTCAAATTAAAAACTGTTATTTTGCACAATAAAAATGAGTACATGTTTTAGGTGGGATTTTTTAAGATAGAGTCGCCAATCTGAAAATTTGCACAAAAAATATTATAAACATCTTAATAATTGTTTTTAATCCTGTAATGTTATCCTGTCAAAAAAACTCAGTTCAAGAAACCCTTCGGAAAAACCTGGTTTCGAGGAGGTTTGTAGAAAAAGTATGTTTCATTAAACTAATATATCAATACGCAACATACAGAAATTAACGTAAAACTAACAGTTTGTTTTTTATTTATTTACTTCTAGCTAGACGTCGGATACAAATGATCTAATAAGATGTATACATCCTAGATTAGAGGCACATTATGACTCAGAAACATATAAATTTTACTTCCTTTTTTTTAGCAAGGTCAGACATAAGTTTCATCATGTTTAAATAATGTTTTAAGAGCATGTTACATGCTTATCATCTGATGAAAGAAGTGCTGAATATAAACTATTTGTAATAAAAATAACAAATGTAAATAAAGTAGTATTTTGACTTGCAAACCAAATGCTTAAATAAATATAATTTTACTATTACAGGACACCAAAAATTTGGGAACTAAAAATAAAAGCATTTCTCAGGGATAATGTCAACATAATTATAAGACAAAATTAAAACAAAAAGAAAATCGAGAGAAGATATTGGGCAATGTTAAAAGGTTTGCGTCAAAGGAGAGGAGAGAATACAAAATAACAAACCAACATAGTGCGTTTGCGACCAGCATGGATCCAGACCAGCCTGCGCATCCGCGCAGTCTGATCAGGATCAATGCTGTTCGCTTTCAGTTTCTCTACTTGTAATAGGGTTGGTTAGCGAACAGCATGGATCCTGATCAGACTGCGCGGATGCGCAGGCTGTCTGGATCCATGCTGGTCGCAAACGCACTATGTTTGTTTTGTCGTGACGCGGCTCATATATAAGTATGAAGCTATACAATTGGGCGGACTGCAGAATGATTTCTTCACCTTTTCGGTTCGGTCCAAACGTGTGAACAGCTTCGGATATACCTTCATTCTCTCCAACTGATAAAGATGTATTCCCTGAAATAATTGGTTTTAAGAGAAACAGAACAATAGATATTGATGACATGACGTTTATCAAAGAAGGTCTAATATTATCATTCTGCCTACAAAGGAAGAAGTTGGAGGCTGTACATTACGTAACCCGCAGGTACAAAGATGTGATTGGATGATATTTTTGGAAAAGAGGTCACCTGCATGTAAGCTTCAATTTGTGCAATTATGGACGTGGATAATTTGATCTATACGTTTACCAAAGTAGCAGCATTGCTTCACAGTTTTTTTTTGTTGATTTAAACAATTTTCTACTATTGCCGCATTTTTAAAGAGAAATTGGAAGGCCATTAAATGCTCGGAGAAATGATTTCGATATTCTAGCACTTGGTGTTCTAAATTCTTCACGATTACGGAGGAGTTAAGTTTCGTTTTCGACGGATTGCGAATATAAATCTGAAATATGAGATGGCGTTAGACTGGACCTCATCTTGTAGAAGAGAAGCTTATGTTGCTGACGTCTGGATTCTAAAGCGTCCCAACCAACTTCATCTAGAAGCTGTTATAAAATAAAGAGAATAGTTTAGTTGTACCTATAACAATACGGGTAGCCGCATTATGGACGATTTCAAGTGTAGTTTTTTGCTGAAGTATACAACTGTTAAGATAATATATCACCATATTCTTATATTAGACAGATAATTGAAAAGTATATAGTTTGTATTCAATATTGAAATTTAACTTCCTCATTATATTTATTCGTTGATAAGCTTTTTAAGTACATAATCAATGAGTGTTCCATTTTAAATTGTTTGCAAAGACTTTTAAATGTTTGCGGCTTAAGGTGGATCACCAGATTTAAAAACTGAACAAGGAACATAATGTTCTTTGGATAGATCTTTCACATTCCTTTTATTACTTTTATCGGAATAAAGGACTGTCTCTACTTCAGTTGCTGATGTAAAAAGTGATTCCAATACAAGACGAGAAGGATCTTATATGCAAGAGTTATTTTCTCATGAATGCACGGGTTATTTTCACATGTATGAAAGGAGTTTTCACATGGATAAAAGGGTTATTTTTTTATCTTACTTAATTCCTCTATACTGAACATTAAAGTAATAAGCAACATATGTCCATCAAATTGTGTAATCTCTGATACATTAAAACAGTTTGCAAATACAAATATACATATGAAAAATAAGAGCGGACTGTTTTCGTTATGTATTAACTATCAAGTATAAAAGTGGTTTATAATGAGACACAACATTACTCACGGTTTCAAGTGCATCTATTTAAGTAGAGAAGATGAAATTAAAAAAAAAACGTGAGTTTTTAATTGAAATTATCAGTTTAAAAGTTTAAAATAATAATAGGATATAGGCAAAAGAGTCATGCATCGGGTTATAATATCAGTACTATCTTATCTCTTCTAAGCCGAAGTTTGACGGAAAGACCCGAGAAGATGTAATTGTCTGATCTCCTCGGCTATTATGCTTCGCAATAGACGGAATAAGTAGGTATTTTAGTACGATTGAATAAGACTAATAATGAGGAAAATTCATAAATCTTTTTGTGAACGCCGATGCTAGTGTTATTGGGGTAGTTATAAGTTTTCGTGTAGTAAAAGGATATCCTATGAGTTGCCTTGTCATGTCATCTCTTTATAAGATAAATAAAAAGAAATGTTTCAAAGCCAGAATATGGCAATCTTAATAAATTTGTTTGGTTTTACGGCGCACCAACACAATTTAGGACATATGGCACCGAAACAGGAAAGATGATTTTGGCTAACATTTGGTATTACAAACTTAAAGCAACACCAGGGATCAAAATCACATCACCTGCGGAAAATTTAGAGATTCATAAGACTCCAGTAATGTAGTCGCCTCTCACGATCACGAAGGGATAAATGAGCCGCGTCACTACAAAACCAACATAATGGGTTTGCGACCATGCTGTTCGCTTACAAACCCTATTGCAAGTAGAGAAACTTGCGCAGGCTGGTCTGGATCCATGCTGGTCGCAAACCCATTATGTTGGTTTTGTCATGATGCGGCTCAAATTGTGACTGCAAGTCTGATGCCTCAATCCTTCAAGGTAACCACTCAGTCACAAAGGGGGGAAGACATTTTGTTCGATATATATTTATGTGTGAACTGACAGCGTATTTATTCTTTTTATCGCAAAAGTAAAAACAAACTAATAATAAATATTCTAATGATATTTACACAAACCGGTTGCCTTACAAAAGCATGCACATAAAAGCATTTTTTTTCTTCAAAAAGTGAATGGATAATACATTCGTTAAAATCTTATACATGTAGTCGCACACTTAAACAGAAATTGCAACCACAATTTTGAATTGAATGATCCAGATTCAACCTTTTATTTGGACTACAAACGTTGAAATGTGATATTTTATTTTCAAATGCGTTGCAGTGAAATTCTTACTGCAATCCAAAAATCTGATCCTTTAAATTAAAAAAGATTCATGTAGGGATATGCTATGCAGACAAACGCAGTAATGCAAAAGTGATACGAGATCCAGGTCTTACTCTGATTCATTGTTATTTGTTTGGGTCGTCAGACCAAACAAATAATGGTAGCGAAATTTCAAACTCTGGTGTTCTTATTTGCAAATGCCGAAAGTAGTCCAAAATCTCGAAGCGGTTACTTCCCTTCATATGTACATTGACGCAGAAAATTTAAGGGGAGATCACTGCTTAAAAGATTGTCAAATGACCGGCGCATTGATTTTTGTAACGAAAAAATAGTTCCCGATTGGTCGAAGATTTCTAATATTGTGTTATTCTTATACATATACATGCTTATATTCAGCTCCATGATTAATAACTTCAGTGTTAAACAATAGGTTTACCGTGAACAAAATATATCGAAATTAATAATGGTTACAAACTCTAATTAAGAAAAATATGGTATTCTTCAGGCTTTTATCTTATAACTCCCCGTGGTCGAGGGGTTTACACGCTTACTTTAGAAGCGAGAGGTCCGGAGTTCAAATCCAAGTTAAGGCAACTAAAGTTTTTTTTTAACTGATTAAGCCAAATAAACATTGAATTGAATATCAGTGTTGCAATTAGTCTTATAGCCAATTTACTATAGTTATTTCACTGGAAACAGAATTTGGTGACACTTTACAAACAAATTGGTTTATAATCTCACAACCTTCACCTTTCTGACATTCTGAGACCCAATCAAATTCAGCGCCTTCTGTGCTTTGATTTCCAAGTGTTATTGGTACACGAAAGAGCGGTATAATTCCGCGATCCCATGTGAGTTATAATGAGTGGAAAGACATCACGGTAATGAAAGTCGGAAAACATGCCCGTGGCGTACAACTTGGCTATGAAGTGCCTTTACATACTTGCTAGTAACATGGTCCGGTTTCATGTGTCCCGTTTACAGGTTCCATGTGTTTAATTAATTACCGGAATTCATGTGCAGAATTTACACGTCCCATATGTGAACCATCATTAAATTGATCGGGTCGCCTAATTCACATTAGTGTAATAATGTGACTATGTGACTAGTGACTATGGATTGCGTTAGTATGATTATGAATCCATTAACAGGTTTCATTATCGTAATTAGGAGTTTTATTAGGATAAATATGAATCCAGTTACAGGTTTCGTTACCGTGATTAGGGGTTAATTAGGATAATTATGAATTTATTAACAGGTTTCATTATCGTGATTAAGGATTCCATTAGGAACATTATGAATCTATCAATAGGTTTCATTATCGTGAGTAGGGGTTCCATTAGGATAATTGTGAATCTATCAACAGTTTTCATTATCGTGATAAGGGGTTCCATTAGGATATTTATGAATCCATTAACAGGTTTCATTGTCGTAATTAAGGATTCCATTAATATGATTATGATTTTGAATAAGACTCGATCCTTCTCAATGAGGTTTGTTTATTCTTCTCGCAAGTTTAATGAATGGTATTTCCTTGCTTTGTTTAAATAATTCAGAAATAAAAAGAAATTAAACAGACATGCAGTGTTTTAAATACAATACGCTTCAATTGTTTCCCATAGTTGGTTAAAACTAGGGGAAGTACCTTTTAATCTCCGCATGAGAAAAGTTGGGAAATTTCCAGATACACGTCCGGACTAGCGCATTTATAAACCACATGTAAATTACCTAAAATCTTGATTACTAACATTTCTCTCTATTGATTGTTTCTATAAATACGAAACGAAAAGTTTAATTTTTCAAGGTTTTCTGTTTGACATTCACCGCTTGATTCTCATGATTAAGTTCCCGTTATTAACCGCTCAGGAAGTTTAAACCAAATCAACAAATTTATCATTACGATACTTTGTTCAGATTTTTTTTCCAAATTAAACTGATATGTAACCTATGAAGCAGTAAATAGCTAAATAGGTCATTCGGAACACTGAGATTATTACAATATATGTCAAAGTTAAGTCCGCATCAACGTGCTGACAAACTATGCATATATATTCTTTTGTTAATTGTGAATAAAATAAGAATTGAAAAAAAATCTGAACATTTTTTTTTCGTTTATTAATTTTCTCTTTCATAGAAATAATGACAATTTCAAACAAAATAAAGTGACCCGGTGACCGAGTGGTTATGATGACTGAAACACTAACTTGACCCCCCACCCCGTCGCTTTGCTGTACGAATCCCACACTGAATTCTTAAAGCTGTCCGACCTGGCCTGAAATAATTCACAGAGGGAAACAGCATTAAAACTGTTTTTCAGGTGCCATTCATAAATGTTTTGTGGTGAATATAGGACCACTATATCATACAGGTCTACCAAATAGAAATTTATTACAAACAACTCTCGTAATAGGATTTTGAAAGTTTTCACAGAGTTTCCATAGCGGCTACGTTGACTGACTATATGAGAATACAAAATTGTGGGATTCTAAGTTTTTAAACAAATACGTTTCATGCAGAGATAATTTTTATTTTAGTTTTGTACACAGACACTTGGGGTTTGGAGCTCAAAACGCCTTTAAAATAAAAAAAATACATATTTTTCAATCCCAGCACATGTACTGATCATATATATCAAAAAAACTTAATATAAGCCGTTTTGAAAAAAAATCATATTTCAACATCTATAATAATATATTCAAAACGGCTTATATTACGTTTTTTTATATATATATATATGATCAGTACATGTGCTGGGATTGAAAAATATGCATTTTATTTGGATTTTAAAGGCGATTTGAGCTCCAAACCCCAAGTGTCTGTGGTTTTGTATACAATGAATTATAAGTTTACACAAATACCGTGCAGCAGACAGGTGATTGATTACATTATAATATCCGTTAAAAACAAGCTGTCGCTATATACTGTATTATATATTATACAAGATAGCAAGAAGATAAAAAATATTCTATCATTTGTCAAACAAACCACTTCTAAATCAGTTAAATAAACACAATAAGCCTGATAAGATATATCTAAATATACAGATACCAAATAACGTTTTTTATCAGCGTGTTTTGCAATGATGATAAAGTATTTGTAAACGTTGAACCTATGATACTCCGCCTACCGACGCGACTACAAAACAAACCGTTGTTACAATAAGCGTAATAAGGAAAAATAACCAAAACAAAACAAAGTCAAGTGCGTCAACGGCGTCTTCCCATGTGACGTCATCAGCTAGCCGACTCATAAATACAGATAATTTCATTCCACGGATATAGCCGCTATTTCCCCCGAAACAAGTTCGGCAAGACATGCTGCGCACACACTTGGTAATACTTTGTATCCACCCTGGAACAGGAATGTCAGCGTCCCGGCTGCTAAGACGTAGTTCGGCAATGGTAATCAGTGAAATCAAGGTGCTAACAAATGTCATAAGGAAGAGATAGGCGGAAAAGGTTGACATCTTCTCGGAATTTTCAGGAAGCTCAGCGCTGATTATCGTTATGAAGACAGCAAAGGCCAAGAAAGCTGTGACTGCAAAACCAGTTTTTTCTCCTGAAGCTGTCGGAAGTGCAAAAACAAACGGATTTAGAGCGGCAAGCATCACTACCGGAACTAGAATATTCAAGAGGTAATACAGCGGCTTTCGCTTCATTTCTATAGAAAACGTTACTCCAGATGACGTGTTAGTCGTAAATTCCGTTGCCGTAGTTTTCAAAAGCGTCCATTCGCTATTTGCTCCGTACAAGCCCGTGTCTAGCCCTTTTGTCCCCTTTTTCGCAAGAACAAGATCCTTTGGATTACTCCAAATCACATATTTTAGCTCGCACGTTGTTTTATCAAATGGAAAATATGTAATTTCAACATTACATGCACTTTCAAATACTTGGTACGGCTTCCATGTGACAAGCCCGCCATCTGTTATTTTGACATTATGAAATGTGTTTCCAAGTCCTTTAAGAGATTCGAACCCATTTTGTAATGCTAGGTCAGGAAGCCAAATTTCATTTTGTGGAACAAGTATCTCCTTTACATCACTGTTTTGCCAGGTGTTAGCAAGTACTTGGTCCGTCCAAGATATTTCTAAAAACCCAGTTGTCTCTAGCTTTTGTTGAGAATTATCAAAGTTGTTTATGCTGACAAGAGACAAATCTAGAGTAATCTCTATAGCCACCGACTGATCAGCATGTACTGGTCGGACACGAGTGTCGTAATTCGTGAACGTTGTCGTAATATGAGTCTTCATTTCGGCTGCAGTAACGGTTTCTGCATATTTGACAAGTACACTTATAATCGTGAATATCAACACAACATTTATGACAGAAACTCCCAACATCTTTCTGGTAATAATTTGTTCTAATATCACATTATAAATTGAACTTGTAAATGCGTATATTGCCAAAACAATTTCATTTCACTTTCCAACTTAAGACCAGCACACAAGCTATAATTATAAAATAAGCAATTAGAGTGAAAATGATACCTTTGTCCATTCATGAAGAACAATTGTATTGTTTTAAATATGTACATTATTACATTTAATGCACAATTACAAAAGCTTCTACTTTATTTTGTTACTAATATTATTTTCAAAATTAAATTCTTTTCAAAATCACTTATCTGTGAAGTTGTAAGATTATACTTATATATGCTTTTGTATTCGGTAGATACAAACAAAACCTTTAATTAAGGTTTGGTTAAAGATTTAAACGATTTTCTCAAAATTCTAAAACCACTTTTTAAAAGAGAGAACATATATTCGCCATAATGACGTTCGCTCTTGTGATTTTATTCTGTGGAACGCTCACGTGGAATTCCGCGGATGCAGTTACTGCAGAAGAAATGCGCACGCATCTCAGCACAACATTGTCATCAACTTATTACACCTACGTCCGGCCGGTAATAGACCAATCAACGGTTGTGGATGTTAGCGCAGACCTGTACCTGATTGGGATAAATAATTTTGATAACTCGGAGCAGAAGCTAACCACTACTGCATATTTGGAGATAACGTGGACAGATGAAATTATAGCCCGGGACTGGCAAAACAACGGTGTTGAGACGATATATGTTCCACAAACAGATGTATGGATTCCCGATTTAGCACTGCAAAATGGGTTTGAAACCCTAACTGGCCTTGGAGACAAGTTCCTGTACGTCAAAGTAGAAAAGTCGGGCGCAGTAACATGGCGGCCATATCAGGTATTTGAAAGTGCTTGTGAAGTCGATGTTACATATTTCCCCTTTGATAAAACAATGTGTGAATTAAAATTCGTTATCTGGAGTAATACTAAAGACAGTGCAACAATAAGAACAGGAACTGTGGGTATGAACACTGAACTCTATGAAGGCAACGCCGCCTGGAATTTACTGTCAGCTACATCATCTAACTTTACGACGTCCAAATCGACCGGAGTTACGTTCTCGATCGAAATCAAGCGTAAACCATTACATTACCTTATCAATATTATGATACCCGTGATCCTGCTTGGTTTACTAAACGTGTTTGTATTCGTTCTCCCTGCATCATCTGGAGAGAAAACCGGGTTTTCCGTCACAGCGTTTTTATCTTTCGCAGTGTTCTTAACTATAATCAGTACGGAGCTTCCAAGAAATTCTACGACAGTGTCTACATTCAGTGCCTACCTCGTTATTATGACACTTGTGAGCACGCTCATGGTCGTTGTCACCATTATCCAACTTCGTATCTTCAACCGCGCAGACGACACACCGATTTCCCGCTTCTGGCATAGCATCGAGAGTTGCGTTCGACGAGTCCAGTGCGCAATATGTGTCGGAAGCGGTCACGTGGCTATGGAGAAGGCAAACGAGGAAACTACGTGGCAGAGCGTCACCGACGCAATTGATTTCGTTGGATTCTACGGTTTTGTAATATTTATGGTTGTTTTCACGTTTATAATTCTGTTAGTCTCGACAATTGGAGGCAATACATAAAATAAACGCTTTTTTAACAAACGATACATGTTTGTTAACATCATTTATGAATTAATACTTATTTGTTCTGTTTAGTATTTGGTCATATAACCTTATCACATGACTTACAAACCATAGTATTTTCTATATACAAGTGAAACAACGATGTATTAAGTATCATGCTATAATCTACGATTTTGTTTATACAGAATTTATTTTAATTTATCTAAGTTAGATTGTGTAGGAAGCTATAAACATATAGATACACTTTCGAATCCGTTTCTGGAATCAACCAGTACTGAGCGCAAGAGTGTAAATTAAGTTTCTTGCTCAAGGAAACGACGGCTTGCCTCTGACAGGGTTTGAACCCATTAGGCTAGCGATCATTAGACTACTAGTCCGACGCGTTTAACGCTCGGCCATGCCGCCACTCAATTCTTAAATTTATGGAAATCGATTAAGTTGTATGCTGTTTGCAAGCTGGAATTTTGACTGAATCGATATATGTGTGTATTGTTATTTTTTATTATTATTTTGATAAAATAGCATCTCCTGTTACGAACTAATTGTGTGGAAAAAAATTTTGTTACTGTTTTTTTTTAAATAATATCTTAGTATAATTACTATACCACACACTGTTATCATATTGTAATGTTTACTCAATTATCTATTGTAGTCATTTACACATTTTTGCACATGCCGTTTAAAGTAGATTGATCTTCAATATAGGGTTTTCAGATATTGATAAAAAAACAACACTTGAAATGTATCATTTATATATTCTTATAAAATATTATTTGCAAAAGAAATTGTTGATTAACTTCTAAGGCATTAATTATGATCATTTATATGATGGACAAACAATAATATTTTGTTCTATTGATTTTTATTATCTGCCGTATAGATATATGTATGTATAATCGGACCATGTATCTCAAACTTGCCAACAACATCCATGTGTAATTATTTCCGGTTTATTGTTACATCTAATACTAAATACTATCAACATGATTATTCATTGTATGAAATACCTCTCATCATAAACCATTTCACTTTAAATATCACCGACGCATCTGCAACCAGGTCTACAGACACATCGACTCTTATCAAAGTCAAACCGTGCCAACTTTTTTTTAATAAAAGTAACCTTAAGAACCCCAGTGCATTATTCAAAGCACGAGCATATGAGTAAATCCGACTATCTTTATGCGCCAAAACAAATACACCTCATTACATTGCCTCATTTTCCCCGCCATACAGCTGTCGTTACTACTGAATGCTGCGATGTTATGTAAGTAGTCCTACAAAGAAAATCGTCAGGAACTCGGCAAATGTGGGGTTTCCGGTTCAATCACACGATTAACGTTATAACTTTACGGTGCATAGCCGTTTGCAATAAGTTGTTTGAGCTTATCGTATTATGTACGAAATTGTAATTGTAAAAAATTGTACCGCGGGGTTAGCTAGGGGAAAACCCCATATTTGACGAGTTCCAGAGTTTTCTATTATCCTCGAATCAGACAGGTCTACGGTAAAGATGGAATTTGCCAAGGCCCAAGGCCGGACAATGTCGCTTCATTTCTATATGGATTTAAACTCACTTTCATGCTGAACAAACAGACTTTAGAAATTTACCTAGTTTAACCAATTTTCTTATACTAGTTTGTAATACCATAAAAAATATATTTCGAGTTCACAGCTTAATATTGATGTCAGGTGGCATACATTAAGAAAATTTTCAAGACAGTAAATAACCCGATTAAGACGTATGTTGAAAATAAATCCATTTTGCATAAAAGTTGGCCTTCTTAGTTTACCCATTATCATTTAAAGTATAATGTAAGGGGAAGCAACTAGTATCACATTTAAGGAATTAACAATAGAAAATATATGTAAACAAACGTGAATTTGAACATCAAGCTTTCATAAACTTGAAACTTTGCCAATAATCTAGAAACTCAATACATTTTTCTCACTTGTTAAATGCTTTACTACAATTATTTGTTCATTGCACATTTATTATAAATAAATAAATAAAAATGTACATACGTTATAAAAAAATCTTGATTGCGAATTGAAAATAATTCATTATTAGTTTTTAAAAAACGGTAAGTATGCTAAATTCATGAAATTCACTCGTTCTGCTTTGAATTGCAAACCAACGATTATTAATGTGAAGTATTTATCATCTTCAAATTATAAAATTAAGCAGTCAACACAATACATGTATTCTTTACTGGATTAAGGTCCTAAAATAAATGATAAACCCTATAAAAGATATCAGAATAATTTGACTTTCATAAATTCATTGCTGCATATGTGGTTTATTTCTTTCTTTGTTTGAGAATAAAGATAAAACTTATTCCGGACCCCATTGACAGGCACCCGAATTCCGGGACAATCCCAAATGTCCGGGACATTACAGCTTGTAGGGGCAAAGGAAAGACAGTGTTTTTGCTAGTATTGAATGGCCAATATAAACAGTTATAAAATCATCAATAAGTTAGATCAATAGGTCTGTTACCTATAATGATTAAACTTGAGCTACAATTATTCACCCAAACACTTAATAATATCGATTAAGATTCAACAGACTATTCACTGAATCAAGAATTTACATTTTATTTTCATTTTTTTCAAAATATTGAAATTTCAATTGCATGCCACTAATTGTTTCTTTATTTATTATAAAATATACACATCACATTTCAGTTAACACTTTTCATTATATAACATTTATTTTTCTTTATAAAGTTATATTCATTTCATAATGGTCATTTCTTACCAACAAAGGTAACAAAACCAACAAAGTATCATTATAAAAACATGTTGACAACTTTCAAAAGTGTAGTATGCTAAATTTGTTAGTTGATAAATATCAGCGTCTTATTGAACTATGTCCGTTGTGATACAACAACTCTTTAAAGACAGTTTCGAGTGTGGCTATACCTCAAAGACTTCTTCCAATTCTTTCCTGAAATCAAACAATTAAAAATGACACCAATGAAGATACTGACATATGATGAATGGTTTAAAAGTCATCAACTTTCATCACTAAGCTACTGCTGTCCTCTGGACAGAGATAGAACAGACATATAGAAATACGTCTGTCACTCATAACATATCAGCAGATAAATATATAAGCAAAACATTATTGAATGCATCAAAATGTATGTACCAATTATACCAACATTTTAAACAGGACATTTGCATTAAAATGATCACAACAAAAAAGTGTGCTTGCGACCAGCATGGATCCAGACCAGCCTGCGCATCGTGCGGCAGTCTGATCAGGATCCATGCTGTTGGCTATCAACTTTGTAATAGGGTTGGTAAGCGAACAGCATGGATCCTGATCAGACTGCGCGGATGCACAGGCTGGTCTGGATCTATGCTGGTTGCAAACACACTATGTTGGTTTTGTGGTGACGGGGCTCAAATATTTCTTTCTATAAAATCATTTTAATTCAGATATCTTTTTGCCTGTTTCACACTAGGGACAAATACAAGTCAAACAAAGTCAAAGGTTTCCCCAAATTAGTACATGTTCAAACTAAATGCATATCATATTGCCTTTCTTTCCATCAATTTTCATTGGTCGTAATCATAAAAAAACTTCAAACTGCCTTGAAAAATTGCCATAACATATTTGCTGCAAGTTACAAAATATTATCGCAATTTTTTTTTACATGAATTGGGTTTTTTAGGAACATAATAAAATTATCAAAACAAATGTACGTACATCTCAGAATCATCAAGGCATTCTATCAAAATATTTCTATTGTCAGATATAACCTGTGCAGCTGCCATTGTATCTTTTGCTTCACTAGGCAGTTTGCAGAAACTCTGAAAATAACACAAACAATATCTTAAACAAAAACTATTCCATTAACTCAATCAGGAGAGGATTGGATTTGTAATTCAGAGGTTGTGTGTGGGTGGGTTGGTTTTACTTAGCACCAACACAGTAGAGGTCATATGGCGACTTTCTGACTTACTTATGGAGAAAAAACTTCAGACGACCATCCATGCATTATCTCAGGCATGATTTGACACTGATGCCACTTGTCTCTCACAGGTGATTCTGAAATCTTACTTGATGAGTTGTCAGTCAATTCCTAAGAAATTGGTAATTACTGTTTAGTTATCAAGGAAAGCCAGTGAGGTGGATTGACCATCAAGATATGAGCAAAACCAATTTGTTTGTTTGTTTGGGTTTTACGTCAACCAACACAGTATAGGTCACAAAACCAATTTAATCAGCAGAAAAACAAGAAAAGCAGACAAACAAGAACTAGTAAATTTGTTGAACTGAACTGATATCTCTGTCATATTATTCAAATCATCTGATTGAAGTTTCTTATAGTATCATGTACCTCAGAATACGAAAGAAAATTTGGTGTCTTGACTTAGATATTACAATGTCCTTAAAAGTAAGCAAAGTCAAGCAAAATAGCTCTAACAATGAAGGACATCCTTCTGAGAAATAAAAAAAATAATTATTATTATGACATTCATGAAGATTTAATATGTAAATGATAACACTACCACATTTTGCTTACCATTATCTTAGGAACATCTTTCTCTAAAATTGACATCTCTAACACATCTCTCAAAAGTTCACCCCTAAAATATCAACAGATCATATTAAACTTCACTTATAGACACTATATACTTATTTTATATGTACTTAGTACAAACTAGAACTGCCACTATCATGGCGTGAATACCCCCGCATACCACTTTGTCAGAATCAACAGTGGCCATTTAGAGCTCAAGGACAACCTCCCTGCCAAATCTGAGGTTACTAAGCCAGTGCTTTGCTAAGTTATGTATTCTACATGATTCAAATGTGAAAATGTCAAAATCAATACACTGCGGACAGGCATTCTTTAGCAATTGAGAAGAAAAGCTTTTTTTGTCAAGGTCCCTGTGACCTTGACCTTTGATCCAGTGACCTCAAAATCAAAAGGGGTCATCTACTAATCATGACTAACCTCCATTCCAAATATGAAGACTGTGGGTCAAAGGCTTCTAAAGTTATTGGGCAGACAAGCTTTTTATAGTCAAGGCCCCTGTGACCATGACCTTTGACCTGGTGACCTCAAAGTCAATAGGGGTCATCTGCTAATCATGACCAACCTCCATGCCAAATATGAAGACTGTGGGTCAAAGGAATCTTAAGTTATTGGACGGACAAGCTTTATGAAGTCAAGGCCCCTGTGACCTTGACCTTTGACCTGGTAACCTCAAAGTCAATAGGGGTCATCTACTAATCATGACTAACCACCATGACAAATATGAAGACTGTGGGTCAAAGGAATCTTCAGTTATTGGACGGACAAGCTTTTAAAGTCAAGGCACCTGTGACCTTGACCTTTGACCTGGTGACCTCAAAGTCAATAGGGGTCATCTACTTATCATGATTAACTTCCATTCCAAATATGAAGACTGTGGGTCAAAGCAATCTTAAGTTATTGGGCGGACAAGCTTTTTGAAGTCAAAGCCCTTGTGACCTTGACCTTTGACCTCAAAATCGATAGGGGTCATCTACTAATCATGACTAACCTCCATGCCAAATATGAAGACTGTAGGTCAAAGGAATCTTAAGTTATTGGGCGGACAAGCTTTTTGAAGTCAAGGCCCCTGTGACCTTGACCTTTGACCTGGTGACCTCAAAATCGATAGGGGTCATCTACTTATCATGACTAACCTCCATGCCAAATATGAAGACTGTAGGTCAAGGGAATCTTAAGTTATTGGGCGGACAAGCTTTTTGAAGTCAAGGCCCCTGTGACCTTGACCTTTGACCTGGTGACCTCAAAGTCAATAGGGGTCATCTACTAATCATGACTAACCTCCATGCCAAATATGAAGACTAAAGGTCAAAGGAATCTTAAGTTATTGGGCGGACAAGAAAAAACCGACGGACAGCCGGACGGACATACCAAAATTTGATGTTTATGAGGCAAATGAGCTCATAAACACCACCTGGACCAACGTCCATAAGCAAAATAAGCTCATAAAGACAAAAAATAATAATAATCAAGTGTTGGCTCGGACGGCCGGACAACCTGATTCCAGTATACCCCCCTTACAACTTTGTTGTGCAAGGGTATAATTACTTATAGCTATTAACCGTCAAGTGTCGGCAGCATAGCCTAGTGATTAACGTGTCAGACTAGTAATCTAATGATCACTAGTTGTAGGGGTTCAAACCAAACAGGGGCTAGACGTTGTTCACTTGCACAAGAAACTTTAAACTCATTCGTCAGTACTGGTTGGTTCTAGGAACGGATTCAAGACCGTGTCTTTAAACTGAAAGCTTCCTACACAATCAAACTAAAATAAATTCTGTATAAACCAACTGTCATGTTATTTTGTTGTTGTTGTTCTCCATAATACAATAAAATGTCAACTATACAAAAGTAGTTTCAAAATCACTGAACAAAATCGGCATAGTACGGGTTTTAAGTTAATGAAAAAATACATACAATGACTGACAGGCAAATTAACCATAAATAGATAACTATTATTTTCATGAAATAATATTTTATTTTTCTTACTTTATAAATCCTTGCATTCCATTCTGATAAATATACATCGCAGACTCCCTATCAAAATGATAAAGTATATATATAGATTAGAGTAAATAACAAAAGCATGAAGTTTATATTATGTATTTTATAGATATAAATAAATAAGCCTGAAGAGTCTCACTTTTAATATTCTTTTTTGTAATTTAAACCACCTAGTTATGAATACAACTAAGACCAATTTATAACTTTTGTATAGGATCTCTAATGAAGTTTTTTACAAAATCTACACAAAGGATAAACTGAGTTTGGGAAAAGCTAAGGAAAACAAAATGATGAACACCAGCCTATCAGAAACACTGTGTCAAGTGACTGAAAATTTAGAAACAGTTCAACAAGAAAACTAAACTTACCAAGCCAAGTCCAGGTTCTTATGGTTGACAAATATTCTTGTTAGTCGATTACCAATCTCAGTAAATTCACTGAAAATATATATTATACATAAATATGATACTTTACTATGTTGTAACAACTGTTAAAAGTAAGTGTCAGCATTGTGAACTTTTTGCAATGATCAAGTGGTATATTTTTCTTTAAAAAGAGGGAGATTTTAGAATTTGCAATAAACAAAGAAGAAAGTTCTAATATCAAAAAGTTTTGTGAAAATACCCCTTATTTTAAGAAAAATCTTTGAAAATATGACTGCAGAATGTGGGAAGTCTCCCGCTTACAGTTGGAGAGTTCACATGTATGAAGTGTAAGTAGGAACTACACATCAAACACCGCGTCATTTTATCTCTATTAAAGAGTATACAATTTTCGGTACTACAGTACCTTCATTAGGAACCATGAATATGTTACAACAACCACTTAAATGGATGGATGATATCTGACTCATTCATGGAGATTAGTGGTAATTTCAAACACAAGAAAGTTTGTTTGTTTATCTGACTTTTATGACAATTTTGATATCTCACAGATCTTTCTACATCAATTTCCTGGATAACCAACCAGTTATTACCAATTTCTCAGTATGCAAAAACGTGGTTTTAATAAAATGCCTAACTGGCAGAACAGTAGTAAACTATTTGGTGTAAAAATATCTTGTATCAATAATCCTATAATAAGATGTAAGACAAGTACTTTGAACACTTAATATCTTTTAACACGTTTTTTTTTGTCAAGAAGACCAAGTGACAAATGACACATTTATGGATTCAGAATCATACATTCAGTAGATCACTCATCTTTGATACTCACATTGCAGGGTTTCTTGTTGTTTTGCTCTCCTCAAACAACTCCTTGGCTATTAGAACAAAGTCTTCCCTAAGCTGTAATAAATAAAGGCAAACTACACTAGTCAACATAAATGAACAATTTAATGAACATGACAATAGATATAAGGATGTTATATGTACATGTATCATGCAATAAATACTTTTTTCAACCGAGTTTATCTAAGAAGAACATCAGGGAGACTGGACAAACCCTTCTGAAATACTTTCAACTGATAATGCAATTTGAAAGTTAATATAAAGTAATTCATTTTTACATTTCATATGAAATTTAACATGTAATACTGTTACCCAATTTACATTTGCCAATACAAATTTCCATTTTTTGCCACAGACTGACAAATTATGAATATTTTATATCACGTTTTTTCAACTTTTTTGTAGAAAACAAACACGCAGATGTGCAAATCAGAGTGTTTTGTTAAAAGAATGTTCTAAAAGGACTTGCTTGACAATAATCTTCAATGATTTAGAGGTGGTTGACGTGGGTAAATAATAAATAAATGAATAGAATGTTTCAACATCATCATTTCACACTACATACCTTTTGGTTGTCATTGTAATCTCCAAACATATCTAGAAATTTCTGCAGTAAATCTTTATCTACCCATTTAGATTTTACATAGTAAGCTAGATCTGAAATAAGAAAAAAAACACAAGAATACAAGAAAGTAACTAACATTGCAAGTTGAAAAATAAGGATAATCAAATTTTAGGAATTCTTCTATAGAATATTTAACATCCAAGGCTAATTCACAGCCTAGTTATTACCCGCCATTTATTGCCATTGTGAAATTGCCTTTCCAATTTTAAATAACTGGTATTTCTCTGCTTTGAAATCAACGACCTAATTAAGTTTCTCAGTTGTTGGCAAAAAACTAATAAGAGCTTCAACTGCATGTTATAAATATTACAATGCAGTATAGCCCTATGTCAAGGTCACACAATTTAACAGGCAATCATAAAGTTTAAAGTGGCCGTCAGCTTTTACTTTTCTGTTGGAAAAACAATTCTGTGTTGTTTCAAACTAAGTAATTCAGTAATTTTATCTTTGAGCCTTCTTCAAAACAGCGTACTGAGAGCTATTTATAATGTATCAGTGACATTCGTTTCTAAAAATATCAGATCGGGAAACAAAGCATCGGCTTTATGAATTTAAATATATAGAGAGCTGACTGGTAGATAACAGGTATCAAGGGGTTTCCTTATTAGTTTACATATTTCATTGTTAGCAAATTTCATTTTCCACCATAATTCTTTTGATTTGACAATTATATGAAACGATTGATGTAAGAATAACTTATTTAACCTTAATAAAAGCTGAAGGTTGCTTTATAGTTAATTGAGATCACAGATCCAATCATTTCAATACAATAAGGATCTTTTTCTCAAAACAATCAGACATCTAGCAAAAAAATTTATTCTTGAAGAAATGATATTTTTCACTTTAAGGGAAATGGTGACAGAGCCAATGGAGAGGGGAAAAATGGCATCATAGAGGGAAAAAGGTCGAAATTCAGAAGCAGATTAAACAGTCCATTTTAAGTCAATATATTTTTTTTTATATAAGTCTATAACTTTTTCAAACTACAATGTCCATTTTGTCTAAAAAAACGCTATTGCATAATTGAAAAAATGAATTTAGAAAAAAAAAATTTAAGGGGAATATTTTTCAGAAACAGGGAAAAAATATATACTTTGGATGAGGAATATGGCCAAATACGACCCAATATTGGCACAAGACCATTACTCTGTCACATGAGATATTTAATACTATTAGTAAAGGTAATAACAAACCTTCCCAAAGCTGTGGCAAATACTGGTATGCACTGTGTGTTTCAATGTTATCTAAAACTGCCAGTATAACAGGAAAAGTTAAAGAACTATTCTGAAATAAAAATATTTTTTTAATAAAAAAAAACAAAAAACAAGTGCTATGTTATATATGGTAATTCCATTGTCAAAGGTTTTTGTTAAGTACATGGCACCTTATAATTTTTAATTTTCAAGTGTTTATTTATATGAAATACATCAATGACTTTGCGCTAAATCAGGAATAATACAAAACGTAGTTACAATATTAGAGTGCCCCTCACTTACTTTCATATGTATATTTTACATGTATCTTGGTGTTATGAAATAGACAAAGTTTATCAGAAGGCACACTCAATGTATAAGGCAAGTCTTAAAATTATCTTTGTCCCCCCCCCCCCCCCCAAACCCCACACACTTACCCAATGACCCATGACAATTTGGGTAGGGTAGGTAGGTCGGTAGATATTTTTTATATCCAAAATAATTTTTTTCTGTCAAAATTATACGGAGTTCAAAACAAGTTGTGAATGTTTAGCATCTGTTTAAAAGGTAAGAACCATATTTTCAGTTTTATCAAACATATATCTCAGTTTGTAATATACAATCAAAGAAACATGAGATAGATATAAATATGTGATTCTCATTGCCACAGTTAGTAAAATAACATATTATTTTTTCTAGTCAATAACTTTTTGGGTAGCTGTGATTTCTGTCAGTAGGTAGCAGGAGGGGAAACAACCAATATTCTATTTAAGGAATTAACCATTTAAGATTTTTCAAAAATATGCTCAAGGAACAAAGGAAGAAATAGTATGCTAAAATGACAAACATAACAAAAACTTAAAACTTAACCAAAGTGTGATGCCAATGCCAGGGTGAGTATCAAATAATAGACCTTAAAGTAGATTAGTCTACAAAGGGCATTTTTTTCATAAGTATTTCAAATATTGATAAAAACGAAAGAAATGTATCATTTCAAAATTCTTATGAATAATTGTTTTAAGAAGTAAATGTTGATAAAATTAGTATAGTTAGTATGAACGGATAATAATATTTTGTTTAAAAGTATCTGCTATGCAAATATATGTATTAATATTGTATCATGTTTAACACACTTGCAAACAACATCCATATAATAATTATCATTCTTTAATGGTTTGTCATTATGTCTGATACTATTTACAATCAACTTAATTATACATTGAATTACAGACTTTGCATTATAGACAAATCCACTTTTAAACTATTCCAAAAACAATATTTTGCTACTTAACTTCACAACTGACTAACCTTTTATCAAAGATGAATTCTAACTTTATTATGTTAACCATTTCACATGATGGTAACTTTATTAAAGGTGTCTACAATTTTATCTTATTTTAACTCATACAGAGTCAAGTTCTTTTTTCTATTTTTTACTTACATAAGTATTTTCTTTATTGTAGAATTCCATCAATTTATCAGAGTTCTCTGTCAAAGCATACATTCTAAGCAGGGTACCACTGTATTAAATAAAAATGAAACAATACATCATTACATAAGTGACATAAGTTTTATTTTAGATTATTTAATAACATTTTTGGAATGTTTTTTAAAAATATCAAAAAAAGTTTAAAGGCCCATTATGCTCCAGAAATGCTTTTAAATTTTATTTTTTTGAAAAAAAACTTATCTTTTAGGTATACTGGTCATAGTTTCCAGAATTTCCACTATTGGCAAGTACAATAAATACCTTAAACTTCAGTTGCTTTTGTTAATTATTAGTAAAGTTTTAAGTTATGTAATTTGGTATGGAAATCAAAATAGTACTTGGTTTACATTTTGCTATTTGTATGACAAATTATTTCACATTCAATACCACTTTCTTCAGGTGATAAGTCTCTAACATACTCTAAACCATTATCAAAACATTATAAAACTTATGTATATCCATTTCTGAAGAAAGAAAAGTTAGTATGTTTCTGAGGCATAGAATGCCTTATGATTATCCTAAACAAGAGCTGTCGGTAGGACAGCATGCTCGACTATTCTAAGTGCTTGATAGTAAAAGAGCCTTGATAATGTTAAATTTTTTAAGTTCACAAAGGGCTAATTTTTTTTTATAAATTCATGTTATAGACCTTAGAGAGAGTCTAATTATACAGTATTGGCTCGACTATTCGGAAGGAAATGTCACAAGGGTGTTTTATTGAGTACAATAATATTAATTACCTATGAATACATAAATTTGACAGAAAAGGTACAAAGGCTTGTTATTAAGATGTTTTATCAAGTAAATCACTGCTTTATTATCATGAATGCATAAAATTTTCCCAAAAAAGGCACAAACCCTTCAGTAGTTGATGATATAACAGCTTACAAGCAAAACTTTACCTCATGAATTCTAAGTTGAAAAAAGGTGAGAAAAATCCGCCTAAATGCAAGATAGAATTATGGATCTTTGTCAGTGACCTACAATTATGACCCTAAATCATATGTGAAGTTTTTAAATAAATATCTTTATTAGTTATTGAGATATTTAAAACTTGCATGTAAACATTAACCAAGAGACTAAGTATAAAAGGGGATATGAATCAGCCTTAATGCAAGATAGAGTTATGGAACTTGGTCAGTGACATACAATTATGACCTTCCAATTATGACGCTAAGTGCATGTGTAAAGTTTCAAGTAAATATCTTTGAAACCTTTAACCTTTAACCAAAATTTCTAAGTTTCAAAGGGGCAAAATAATTCTGCAAATATTGCAGGCAGAGTTATGCAATTTTGCAAACTGATGTACATTGTTACTATAAAAAAAGTATTTTAAATTTCAATTGAATATCTCAAGCAATAATTGAGACATTTGACTTTACAAAAAACTTTAACCAAAATTCTAAGTTCCAAAGGGCATAATTTTGTTTAATATTGTAGGCAGAGTTATCCAACTTTTCAATCTGATGTACCTTGTTACTATAAATAAGGACTGTAAGTTTTAATTGAATATCTCAAGCAATAATTGAGATATTTGACTTTACAAAAAACTTTAACCAAAATTTCTAAGTTAAGAAGGGGCATAATTCTGTCAATATTGTAGGCAGAGTTATCCAACTTGTCAATCTGGTGTACCTTGTTATTACAAATAAGTATTGTAAGTTTCAATTGAATATCTCAAGCAATAATTGAGATATTTGACTTTACAAAAAACTTTAACCAAAATTTCTAAGTTAAAAAGGGAAATAATTCTGTCAATATTGTAGGCAGAGTTATCCAACTTGTCAATCTGATGTACCTTGTTACTATAAATAAGTATTGTAAGTTTCAATTGCATATCTCAAGTAATAATTAAGATATTTGACTTTACAAAAAACTTTAACCAACGCAGACGCCGACGCGGACGCTGACGCCGACGCCGACGCAGGCGACTACAATAGCTCTCATATTCTTCGAATAGTCGAGCTAAAAATGAAGTTTATGTGATAGATAAATGATCTATTAAAATGATCAACTATCAAGAAGGGAGCACTCTGTGGTTTTATAAAGCATATTCAAAATGTATGTAACAGAAAGCGGCCGACCAAGGAGCACGGCACTCCATTTTTCTCAGCACTGGACCTTCACCTTTTGACTCAAAATTGGCTGTGACAGGCAGCTGCAACTCATCAGGATAAATCCACATATTAAATTTTTTACACATCTCATATTTCAGTGGCATAAATATTGCCATATGACGATAAACAAAAACTTAATCTAAAAAGCTAATGAATGTCATGAGGACCTGGAAAAGAGTGTAAAACTCATCAACATATATTAATATACATGTACAAAGTTTGAAGTTCCAAAGTGAATGGTGGTTTTGTTTACAAATTCATTTAGAATCCCATTATGCACAAAGAAGTTATGAACCATATATGAAGTATATACTTTTTTTAACAAACACACCACATGTTCTGTGCAAAAAAAAATGCCTTCAAATGAAAAAATGTCAAAATGAAATGAGTTGAAACCACATTGACAGATAGAGATAAATAATTTAACATATAAATCTAGTATGGTAAAGGTATGACAGGTACCGCACTACTTACAAGAAGTTCTCGTCCTCAAAGAATGATGTAGAGATGTAGTTGTAGCCCATCTCTTCCCGTACATTATACAACATCTCCGCAACACCTATATCGTTAAACTTTTTACACTGAAAGTAATTTCAGACATAAAGATTTGATATGTATTAAAAAACAATATTTTGCGTATTTAATACCTTAACATTTAGTTTGTTGTTATTTTAAGTCCCATTGAAACTGTAAAAATTGTATTTATGGTGACTTTCCAGCTTGTACTGTAGAAGGAAGACATTAGGTGCACCTCTGTGCACCATTTCAGGCACAAGTCGGCACATGTGTAAAACCAATTTTCCATAAGCTAGCTAGATAGCTACCTTACAGACAGGAATCAAAAGTCCCCGTTAGGTTTCAAACACAATACCATTAGGAGCAGTTGATTTAACGTCATAGACTTTAACCACTTGGGCATGGTGGCTCCTTTTGCACAATGTCATCACTAGTAAAACATAAGTAATGTGTAAGAATAATAACCTTTGACTGATTGAAATTTAGGAAGCATTTTTATAAGTAACCATGAACTATAATTTAAGTGACTGAGAAAAAACTTTGACTGGTTCTACATGCAGTTATTTAGGCAGATCTTTATGACTATGTAGTAAAGAAGTAAAATGTTAAGCACAAAAACTGATAAAAACCGTGTACTTACTTCCTTCAGTGCTTCAAATAAAAAGTGTTCTGAAATGGCAAATATACTCGAGGATTATATGAAGAAATACAGCTGTTGTTTACTTATACAGCATAGATATCAAATAAGTTGAAAGGCACACCTTAGATTCATTCTCATTTTCATGGAATGTTTTGAAATGTTTTTTAAAGTAAAATATTGTCAGTTGAACAAAGAAAGTAAAATACACATTGCAAATGGACAAAAAATATACATAAATAACCAAAAATAGGTAAAAATATGCAAAAATAGCCCTTAGTGTGTTAGTCACACAACAGAAATATGGTGATAAACACTGCAAAATCGGTCATTAATTGCATATGAGAATACAGAAATTCCATATAGAATGAAAATTATTTCTTGACTTGTGAACATCTTTTAATTTTCTTAAAATCTTAGTACATTTTTCTCAAGGTTGATTTTCTTAAAATGTTTTGGCTCATTTGGAGGCATGGAGCTGCAAACTGATATGTAAAACAATATAACAATATGATATTTTTCTGGTTTATGTTAAGCTTTTAACACACATTTTGGGGTAGTATCTCAGCTGTTGATTCACTGAACATGTGATCCTGGATAACTAACCAGTAATAATAAACAAATAACTTAACTACTTCACTACAAGAGAGCAACTACTTATCTGACATAAGATATCTAAATCAGCAATGAAACAAATGACCATTAGATTCAGTGTTCACGATCATTTGTCATATAATCAAATAAGTAGAAAACACAATAAACTGATCAGTAAAGAAGACAAAACTACAGCATAAGTTCAAATTATAAGATATTCTAAATTTTTCTACCACGTCCAACAAATCAGTCTCTTAATAAAAAGAATAAGGAATGTGAAACACACGAAACAAAGTGGGTCAGCTTTCAGTAATTTTATCAAAGACATACGTTTCTGATATTCCATAGCCTTCATTAGTCTTTTTTTTATCAATAAATACTTTAAAGAAATTGAAATTTTTGAACTTTGCATTGGGTTGATATAAATTACTCTTTATTTTGAACTTTGCATTGGTTGGATTACTTTAAAAGATAATTCATTTTCACTGTTTAATTTTTTTATTACCACCCATGTTATTATAAATGTTAAGACATATTACCTTTCGGATGATCAAACCCGGTATTTATCAAGCCCCTCGTGCTTCATATACGTTATGATTTCATTTGTATGTCACTGACAATATGAAGACCTGCAGAAAAAAACAGTATTATCTAAACCAACCAAGCTAGTTCTATAAACAAGAGAGCTATAATGGGACCTTTATAACGCTCAAACTGAATAAAGACCTATTTAAAGGCCCAATATTCATTGGCCATATATAAATTATTTTTCGCTTCTTTTGCTCTATGGTAGTTGGTATACTGCGTAGTTATAGTGATTTGGTACATTACACTCTTCACTTATTTAACATTTAACATGCTCTTAATCCATTATTAAAGCATTATTAAATACATATTTGACCTTTCTTAAAAATAAAACAAAAACATTAATTAATTTCTGAGGCATCATGTGTTTTTCAAGAATTTGATAATAATAAAAAATACAAAATTATTCAACATTAATCTACTCCAAGTAAATCCCATAATGTAGAAAAATTTTATAAGTCAATTTTATATACTTCATCATTTCACATTTGTTTTCATAGTAAAGAACATATTCTGTAACTATAACATGGAAAGGAACTTCACAACATTAAAATAAATGTCACATAAAATTTCTTACCTTGTTTGTAAGGTATAGGTTTGTCAGACTTAGGTGGTCGTAGTGCAGATAAAACCAATGCAAATGTTTGCAAAGTGGGCTCTGAAATACAAATGAATTTATCATAAAGCCTATGGTAGATCAATTCAAATCAAATCAAATTTCCTTTCAATAACTATCAATATCTACTATGAATAGAAATGAACTTTAAAAATATTTTAAATTTAGTGCTGTTAAAAAAAAACAAGAATCAAACTAAAATTATAGCAAAAACCAATATAATTTGGGCTAAATTTATTCAAAACCAAAACTTACCCAAAATATTAATACCCTGTATAATTAATTTTGCATAAAACAAAAAGCTGGATGAGTGATGAGTCTAAACGTAATCAAAAATCTGTCATAATCAAAAGAAATACTAACCTTTGGGCATAATCTGTCATAATCAAATCAACATAACCTTGGTCCTAAAAAGCTTCATACAAAAAAAGTACAAAAATTGGTCTAAATTCTGTTCATAAAACAAATACAATTAAATAGCCTTGGTCCTAAACTTCATAATCAACCCAATACAAAAACCATGGTCTAAAGTCTGCAAATCAATCATACAAACCATGGGTTAAATTATGTCATAATAACAACAATACAAACCATGGGTCTAAATTCTGTCATAATAACAACAATAAAACCTATGGTCTAAATATCTTCATAATAACACAATACAAACCATGGTCTAAATTCTGTCATAATAACAACAATACAAACCATGGTCTAAATTCTGTCATAATAAACACCCAAACAAA